ATACTATTTCTGAGTAAAATAATGCTTTCCTTCGATTAACTTCTGTTTCCTGTCTTTTCACATCCCCTTTTTGTCCCCATCCCATCCTCCTCCCTCATCCCTTTTTACCCTATTTTATTTATCTGAAGTTGCTGAGCTACAGTTCAAGAACCCCGTTTTAATCTCTCCATGTAATTAATGAAGGCCAACCATTTGGAATTCGTGTGAATGACTCTCTTACTTAAGCAGATTATTTGGTATGCATAACAGTAAAGTGAAGCACCTCTTTGGGGTACTGCAAAACAGCTAGTTGTCCTCCCAGTGGAGAATCAAATCCACCAGTTCATAAATTAGGTCCCAGCTGATGAGCTACAAGGCTGCAAGGGTCAGTCAAACAAGTACTTGAGAATCTCAAGAGTTTCGTTAGTGAATAGTCTTGCTCTGCTCTTCACAGAAAATGCCAAGGCCTTAAAAGAGCAGAGGAAGACTGGGTGACGAGAGTGTGATAGACACATGGGCTAGTAAATGGGAGTTGGGGAATATTTTCCATGTGAGTCAGATGGTTTCCAGAGGGAAATGAGGTCTGATTTTGCAATATTATGTCCACCCATGATTTGGCCCTCAGAGGCTGAGAGTTAACCACAGCTTCTATAATTTTTGTCTTTTAAAGATAGGTTTCCGCTTACTCCTTTTCACTAAGGAGCTATGGCATAATATCATTTAATAATAATTTACGTGTGTTTGCTGTTTCTGAGCCCTTTCTGGAAGATCGTCTTACTTGATTTTCCCTTCAGTCTGCAAGTGCAGTTAGGCAGACGTTATAAGTCATGAATCAAAGCTGGAAGAAGCCTAGTAGAGGTCCTGTAGCCAATTAGGGATCTGAACCCAGGACCCCACTGCTTGTTTCATCACCCTATTGATCTAGTCCCAGTTACTAGATTTATGTTGATTTTACAAACTTCTTAAGTTCGTAGGGGAAGGGCTTTGAGATCCACCAGTAAAGGGTGTCTTATAGGTATGAAATATCAACCAAAAGAATGAAATGCCTATAAAGGAACATAAGACTGAAGAGAAAGATACTGTTTGTCTCAGAGGGGAAGCTAAGAATTTAAAAGTTTAGTATCATTAAAAGTTACAAATTCCTGGGGACAATAATTCTGTAGATTTCTTGCTTTTATCTATACTGTTTTGGCTGTTTGCATTTGTGCACACGTATGCACACACACGTACACACACACACACACTCTCTTTACCTGTCTTCGTAGTGTCTTTTGCTGTTGTCAGTGCAGGCCTAATAGTCATGTAACAAGTCAGTAATCATACAGCACAAAAGACCTTGTTTCTTTGGGAAGAAGAAAAGTTACAATAAAAATGTCTACTTTCTTCCTTTTTTTTTTTTTGCTTCTTTTGGGGGTGTGTGTTTCTACACTTAATCAGTATTAGGTAGTGGTAAATTAGGTTAATATCACCCAGAGTGTTTTAGGAAACGAAAGAAGTAAATGTTTAGAAATAATTTTAAAGACAGTTTTGATTTACTGTTTAATAAGTATTTTAAACAATTTTGTTGTTTTCTGGGTACTTAAGTTGTATACTCATGGGACCACATGAACAGAGTTGAACAGAGTCAAGCTATAGGAGTTTTGTGGATGGGAGAATTCATAAGTAGACATATGAATCTTTTAGTCTCCTCTTTTGTTGGGGGAGCATCACTGGCTGTGACTGTCCCACTTCTTGAGTACAGCATTAACCCCCATCCCAAGTCTCTCTTGCTCTCTCTCTGAAAGCCTTAAGACATGGAAACTGTGGGCACAAGGAGACCTCTCTTCTGTCTTGGCTTCATTGGGTGTGGTAGCTGAGCTCCAGCTTAAGTACAACATGGAAAAACATGCAACATGAACAGGTCTCTTAGAGCTCTCAAATAGGCACAGTGCTAAACACTTTACATTTATTAACTCATTGAATCCTTGCCACGAGGCTATGAGGTAAATACAGTTGTCCCTATTTTATGGTCAGGTTGAATGTCAGCTCCTTTTAGCTGTGTGTCCTTTGGCAAGTTAATTAACCTTTCTTTACTTCTGTTTCCTCATCTGTAAAATGGGAACAATGGTAACTTCCTCAGCACTTCCTTGTGTGGTGAGGATTAAGTGAAATAATTCGCAGAAAAGCACATCATGAATGTGCGTATTTGGCACATAGTGAATGCTTATAGATGTTAGCTGTTTTTATCTAACTAGTTTATGATTACATAGCAAAAGAGATCACTGTCACAAGAATCAGAAATTTAATTTCTGGGTCTTGCTCTGATATTAAGCAGCTATGTGATTGTGGGTAAATTTTCCTCTTTCTGAGTCTCAGTTATCTTATACTCATTGTTTTAAATTTTTTATTTGAAAGTTATTTCAGATTTACGTGAGACAAAAATTAAAAGTAGTACAGTATGATGACAAAAGCACAGACAACAAAAGACAAATAGATAAGTTGGAGTTCATCAAAATTTAAGTTTTGTGCATCAAAGAAAAAGGCAAGCCACAGAATGGGAGAAAGTGTTTGCAAATCGTGTATGTGATAAGGGATTAATATCTAGAATATATAAAGAACTCCTGCCGTGGAACAACCAGAAAATACCCAATTAAAAAATAGACAGAGGTCCCGCCTGGTGGTGCAGCAGTTAAGTTCGCACGTTCTGCTTTGGCAGATCAAGGTTTGCTGGTTTGGATCCCGGGTGCAGACCTATGCACCGATTGTCAAGCCGTGCTGTGGCAGGCGTCCCACATATAAAGTAGAGGAAGATGGGCATGAATGTTAACTCAGGGCCAGTCTTCCTCAGCAAAAAAGTGGACGATTGGTGGCAGATGTTAGCTCAGGGCTAATCTTCCTCAAAGAAAAAAAAAGGAAAAAACAGAGGACTTGAATAGTCCTCTCTCCAGAGAAGATACATAAAAGGTCAATAAGCACATGAAAAAATAGTCAACGTCACTAATCGTTAGGGAAATGCAGATGAAAACCACAATGGGACTACTTTACACCCATTAGGATGGCTACTATTAAAGAAAATAAAATAAATGCTGGTAAGGATGTAGAGAAGTTGAGAACCTTCGCACATTGCTGGTGGGAATATAAAATGATGCAGCCACTGTGGAAAAAGAGTATGATGGTTCCTCAAAAAATTAAACGTAGAGTTACCATATGATCCAGCACTTCCATTTCGAGGAGTATATCTGAAAGAATTGAAAGCAAGAACTTTGTCCACCACTGTTCATAGCAGCGTTATTTACAATAGCCTAAAGGTGGAAATAACCCAAGTGTCTATTGACGAGTGAAGGGACAAAATGTGGTACATACGTACAATGGAATTATTCAGCCTTAAAAAGGAAGGAAGTTCTGGTATGCTACAACATGGATGAACCTTGAAGACTTACTAAGTGAAATAAGGCAAATGTAAAAGGGCAAATATTCTATGATTCTAGTTTTATGAAGTACCGAGAGTAGTCAAACTCAGAGACAAAGGAAATAGAGTAGTGATTATAAGCAAGTGGAGGGAGGAGGGAGTTGATGTTTAATGGGTGCAGAGTTTCACTTTGGGATGGTGATGGGTGGTGTGATGACGGTTGCACAAGAATGTGAATGTACTTAATGCCACTGAACTGTACACTTAAACATAGTTAAATTGGTAAATTTTACCATGTTTTTAAAAAATACATGTGTCAACAAAAAATACAAATGTTAAAGAACATTTGTATCCCCTTTACCTAGATTTACTTAGTATAATATTTTACCCTATTTGCTTTATCACGTGTGAGTGTGCTCTTGCATACACCCAGTCTACCATCTAAATTCCAGGTTTGTCAGTTGATCTGATAGTATTGTTTTTTACAGCATCCCCGCCCCAGTACAGGATACAATCTGGGGTAGGACATTGTACTTAGTAATCGTGTCTCTTTAGCCTTTCTTTGTCTTTTATAATATTGACATTTTTGAAGAGCACAGTATATTGCCTCCCCCTTCCTTTTTTAACAGAAGCTTCTTCGTTTTTGGTTTGTTCAGTGTTTCCTTGGAATTAGAGTGAGGTTACACAGTCTGGACCGGAAAACTGCATAGGTGATGTGTCCTCAGATTGTGACATCTGAAGACTAAATACATTTGTAATTAAATGCACAGTAAAGGAAATGAACAAATACTCTGGGAGTCTCAGAGAACTGAGATAAACAGATTGGGAATGGTCAGGGAAGACATCATAAAGGAGACTTAGTTTACCTGTTGGGTAGAAAGCATATTTCTAAAATTTCACCAATTTTCCCTCAGTGTCAAATTTTGCATTAGTTCAGCCAATATATAGTACTGTCTTCTACCAGTTATCAAGCTTGTTCCTGTATTAAATAAATCAAGAGGAAATTACTAATTTTCTGTATTCAAATTTAATGAAATTGTGTGTCTTTCAAATGCTGATCAGGGGTCTACTGATTATTACATAAGATTCCCCAAATGATTTGGATTAATATTAAATGACATTGAACTTTAATGTATGAGAGCAAGTCTTTATTCCCTTCCTGGTTTCATCAAATATTAGAGTCAGACTGATGGTTTGTACTCTCGGCTTTGCCACCATTCTAGAGCCTTTTAGCATCCCTGCTGGAGCTGTAGAAAGCTGCTGAAAGTACTGTTCTTGCCAATGCTTGTAGCATTTATAAATAGTGATGATGCTGATGCAAATATGTGCAATGCCATTTTTCCCTTCCAGGCTATCTTATAAAGAGTGTCCAGACTTTCCATGAGGAGATAACAGGTTACTTTGCAGAACAGAATTAGGACTAGTAGCGGTTTAATTATGTATCTTGGGTTTTTTGGGTTTTGGTTTTTTCCACGTTACAGGAAGCACTGTGATTGACACAGTTGGGATATGTTCCTTGGTTAATAGGTAGGAAAGCCAGAGGTATATTTAAGGCCATTATTGTAAGGTGATTTTTTTTCTTGTATACTTTTAAAAAAGAATTCCTTGACCTTTGTGCATTTTATTTCTGCAGTTTGAAGAAAGCAGGTCTGAAACAAGGTTTTACCCCAGCTGCCTGTGAACACGGTGACTGCCAGATCTCCAAACATCCAGTCCAGCTTTGTCCGCCAACCTGTCTGACATGTCGGGACCCGTGCCAAGCAGGGCCAGAGTTTACACAGATGTTAATACGCACAGACCCCGAGAGTACTGGGATTACGAGTCACATGTGGTGGAATGGGGGTAATTGTTTCTGTTTGCTTCACTACCCTCACCCAAAGGGCTGATTCTTGGAGATTTGTTGAGTAATTTATGTCATGAAACCTCCCCAGCTGCATTTCTAAACCTCAAATCAAAGCCTGATTTTGTGTTTTTTTTCCTGCAGTAAAGAAGCAGCAAGGTATCGCTCTGGCAAATTAACAGTTTTGAAGTGCTTACCATTTAAAAATTATTTCAATCTCTTCTTGTTCTTTTCTCTGATTTATATATTCTGGATACAAAGCTGGTAACAAAAGAGTTACCTATCCGATTGCCTCAGCTGAAGGCTTTGCAGGCAGGTGAGAATTAATACTTGAGAGACTTTGAAAACACCAAACTCTTACATAAGTATTTTTGAGGTCAGAGAATGTTGTCCCATGATGATACTGAAGGATGAAACAGTTCTCCAGAAAGGTGTCCTCTTTCTGATGAGAAGCCAAATTAAACCCTTAAATACTTGCCCTTATCCTGAGACCAGCTGTGTATAACATGGAATTCACCCCGAATTCCATCTTGACCAGTTGCAGTCTGCTTGAGCGGCTTTGTTTGCCATCCTCATTCTTTGTATGGTCTCGTTTGGACGTTTGCATTTCTTGTCCCAACATGGTACGTATTTAATTGATCAGGTCATACCTTCATGATAAAAGCATTTTGGCATTCAAATGCAGAAGAAAGCAATTTGAAAACTCATAAAGCTACAGCTCCCATGTGCTATAATCCTGATTGTGCCATGATTCGTAACAGTAAGTACATTGCTTCTGCACAAGGGGGCAAAGTGTTCTTCAAAGGTATCAGCAAGAACCAGTGGTATAACACCAATAAGTGTTACATTATTGATAATGTAACAGTTCCCCTCTTATATCACAGGCTTTGGATTCTAGGAATACCTGTGTTTTACTACAGAAATTTCAGCCAGTCTCTTCAAGTTGAATGCTTTGCATTTAGTTCTGCTTAAATGGCACTAACCAGCCCTTTCAAGTTTTTGGCATGGTGCCATGTGCTTGCTCACGTTTGCTCTCTATGCCCTCCCACAGGAGGAGAATTCACCCAGAACTAAGAGCTTCCCTCCCCTGACCTGCTGTGATTATTCCATTGTCCATTGCCTTTCTCTGTTCATTCACGTTCTTTTTAGCTGCTTAAGGAAAATGAATGATTTGTAACATACTGGATTCTCTCTGTCTCCAGCAGGAATAGATAGAGTTTAGGCCTTATTTTAAAAGACCATGTTTTGTTTGTCATTATTTAGAGCAAAGTCCTCTTAAGTTGTAAGCAGAGGCAGGGAAAAAATGTTGGCCTATCACTTACTCTTTTTTACCTCTGATGTTGCTTATCGGTCATAGAATATGGATAAAAGTAGAGGAAAGGACCCCAAACTATGGTTCATGATCTGTAGCATGGTTTGCCAACTCCATTGCATGGACTGTCCTCAGAGCTTGCTTTGGAGGCAAGCATATGTTCTTGAAAACCACTTACCTGCAAAGAGGCCCATTAAAAATTGGCTGCTCCCAAAGTGTGGCTGAATTGACATAGTCTTACAACATGTTTTCACTTCCTACTAGGTGCCAACACTGGGTCGGGCACTAGGGCACAGGAATATATAAAAATTACTCTCCAAGGGGAAACTGTTGTTGGAGACAAACGTAGATAACAAACCCTAATACACGCTAGCTATGTGTGGTGTGCCAATAGAGATGTAAACCATCTGGGATTTGAAAGAATAATTGAAAGGCTTAAATTTTTCTGATTCTAGGATTTGGAACACACATTTTTAATTGGCCTAATTAAAAAAATACAAAGAAACCAATTCAGGAATTATTTGAAATACCTCTTATTTCTTTTACTCCTGCTGTTTATAGAGTTTTGTAAGTTGCATTGGTGCTTAATAATTTGAACGTTTTAAATCATTGTGACTTTGACTTGTTTGTTCACAGAAATCAAGATGACTACCAGCTGGTTCGAAAATTAGGCCGGGGTAAATACAGTGAAGTATTTGAAGCCATCAACATCACAAATAATGAAAAAGTTGTTGTTAAAATTCTCAAGGTGAGTGCAAGAAGAGAGATGATAATTTCAGAATTATTTGGAATTTAGATGGTTGTTTTGTTTTTTAAGTAATAGTGATGCCTTTTTTAAGTAGCATTTGAAATGGTCATTGGAGTGCTTTAATGCCTTGATTTTGTTGTGTCCTCTAAAATCAGTAGAAGAGGTTTTATTCATTTGACGGATCAGGGAACCGAAGCAAGAGAAGTGATTTAACTCAAGTCATACAGCTAGATTGTGGCAGAGGAGGGGAGTCTCCTCTGCTCCTAGATCTTGTGCAATGCCAGTTTCCTGTATTTTTAGTAATACTCTCTGCTTTTGTTTTCAATGAATTGTTACCTTTACTGTGTAAGGATGAGTCGTCACAAATGCAGACCTTTACAGGGCAGGCAGATGGCATCAGTGCAGCTAGTCTGATGTCAGTGCCCATGATGAAAGGATGTGAGTGCTGGCCCTGCAGCACGTGCTCCAGCTCCAGCTGATCATTGCCCTGCAGTAGTGCAAGTCCAGTGTTGCTTGATACTCTTTTGCAAAAAGAAACTAGAAATTTGTATTTGTATGTGAATTCCCCTGATTTTTAAATGTTGGCTTAAGAGTGTTTTAAAACACTGTACAGGCTAGATTTGGCCAATAGGCTACCAGTAGGCAACTTGTAATTTAGTTGCAAGTATACTGTGCACTGTCATATACCAGGAACTTAGCATACAATTTCTTTCCACAGGAACTTTTCCATATTTGACACTGAGAAGCAAAGGTTCCCAGACTTTCTAAATTTATAGCGCACATATTGTCTCAGTAAATTTTTCATGGTACCCTTAAGCCAGAAGAAATACCTAGAGGTTCTGTATATTAAGTAAGTTAAGTCCAAATAACTAAAAAAAATACTTGTTCTAACTTGGTAGCCATATGAAAAGTTACACACACAAATTGAAAGAAAAAATTATTCTTATATAACCATAATTAATTACTATTGGGATATGTACACCCATTAGTCTCTGCACAACTTCTCAAATGTTGGGATTAGTTTGGACACCAGCAGCCTCGTTTCCCTTTCCACAATGATTTTTGCACAGTACTTGCTTTTTATCACAGCAACTGCTAAAACCCCAGCTTCACAAAAATAGACCATCAAAAGGAGTGTAGTGCAATCTAGCATTGAAACTGAACTACATTGGGCTCATAGCGCACTCAGTGTCGGGCAGGTATCAACTACTGATTGGTGTTTCTCAGAAGTTAAAAAATCCCACAGAACCCCTGTGAATTTGCTGTGGTTCCTGGCACACCTTTTGGGAACCAGAGAGTTTAAGTATTTGTCTCTGTCTTATCACATACAGAAAGAGAACTAAACTGGAAATCAGAATATTTGGATTCTGATCCAGACTCTCAAAGTAATTAGCCATAGTCCTTTTAAACTAAGACTTGTTTGTTCATCTGTGGAAATGAGATAATCTTGCTTTACCTATCTTTGTCAGAGTTATGAGGATCAAATACAAAATTGTATATAGAAATATACCTTGGAGACTGAAGTTCTATGTAATTGTAGGATGATGTTCATATGGGAAGGTATATGATTGAATGAGGTGATATGTTATTTAGAGTCATAAGAAAGGCACAAATGAGGGCCATCCCCGTGGCCGAGTGGCTGAGTTTGTGTACTCTGCTTTGGCGGCCCAGGGTTTCACTCATTCGGATCCTGGGCGTGGAGCTAGCACTGCTCATCAAGCCATGCTGAGGCGGCGTCCCACATAGCAGAACCTGCTATGGGGACCTGCAACTAGAATATACGACTATGTACTGGGGGGCTTTTGTGGGAAGAAGAAAAAAAGAAGATTGGCAACAGATGTTAGCTCAGGGCCAATCTTTAAAAAAAGAGACAGAGAGAGAGAAAGGCACAAATGGTTGGTCTTTTATTGTTGAGAAGAGGGTGGTGGTTAGGAAAAGCTCCCTGGAGCTATTTTCAGGCCCTGAATGGAAGGAGGATTTGGATAGGTGTGGGTAGGAGTGGGGAAGGGAAACGTCATCTGGAATGTGCAAGGTAAGAAATGAGGAAGAGAGAGAAATCTGGAATGTGCAAGGTAAGAAATGAGGAAGAGAGAGAAATCTGGAATGTGCAAGGTAAGAAATGAGGAAGAGAGAGAAATCTGGAATGTGCAAGGTAAGAAATGAGGAAGAGAGAGAAACAAGTGAGAGAAAAGTTTCTGTGGAAGATGTGTGTGACCACACATGGGAAGTAAACTTAGAAAGGGAGAGTAAATTGATGATGGCCTGGAAAAGATAATCTCTGTATTTCCTTCCAGTCTTAAAAGGTACATGATTTTTATCTCTAGGTCATTGGGAGCCATTGGTGGTTTTGAGTGAAGGGTGGTTTGAAAGATTTTTTCCGGCTCAGTCTTCCTTACTGTACTAACTGTATATTTTACTATATAGATGGTTGATACAAGTATAAAATTCATTCGTAAACTATATTTAGAATTTTTAATCTCTCCTCATTTATTAAGATAAAAGTTGCATTGATCACATTAATTTAGGGTTTAAATCACCTGCCTGGTCTATCAAGAACCAGCTTTGTAAGTTGATAGATTTTAAGGATTTTGTAGAATAAAAGTTTTGTAAACCAGTAGCTTTTTGCCATTGACCAGCAGTTGGGAAATCGTGATTTAGTAGAAAACAGGAGATATATCGAGGAGTTAGTCCCTGGAGGGTGGAAAGATTTCCCAAATACTCTAGCAGATTAGAAAGATCTGATAGTTGAAGCAAAAAGAGAAGACTTGTGATCAGCTTGTTTCCCAGCCAGTGTACTGAGTTCTAATAGAAGCAAGGCTAAGCAGTTGTGGATTGAATTAAATGTGGACTATGTGGAAGCCACGGTTACTAAAAACAGCTTCCATTTATTGAGTGTCTGCTTTGCCTTGGGTCCTCTTCTAACTGTGGTATGTACATCACACAATTATAGTCCCTTTTCAGCAGGGAATAAAAATAAAGTTCAGAAACATGTAAGTGCTTTTCCCAAAGCTGCACAGCTACAAAGCCAGGATGGTCTTTTTCCAAGATCTGCTTGCTTTCTGCTGTACCATGTTCTAGGACTTAAGACAGGGTACAGTATTGTTTGGTAGTTTCTAGACCTGGACCATCAACCTGGGAAGTATCTAAAAATAGATCTCTGGCTCCATTCTCAAGATTCTGATGCCGCAGGTCTAGGTGAGTCCTGGGAATCTGTATATTAAAAATTATAGGTGATTGTTGATCATCAAAGTTTAGTAACTACCAATCTTGTTAATGAAGAGATGATATACATACTTAAAACAATTTCTAAGAATTGTGTGCCATGGGTCAGTAGTCCGAGGTGACCAACACCCTAGGAAAGACCTGCGTGGTTCAGTTCGGCAGACATGGGCTGCATATGGCTTATTGAGCATTTGAAATGTGGTTGTCCAGGTTAAGATACGCAGTAAGGATAAAATAACTAGATTTCAAAGGCTTACTACTCAAAAGAATATAAAATTGCTCATGGTCTAATTTTCTATATTGATTTACATGTTGACGTGACAAGATTTTGGATGTTTTGTTAAATATATTATTAAACTTAATTTTGTCTGGTTTTGTTTTGTTTTTTGTTTTTTACTTTTTAGTGTGAGTACTAGAACATTTAAAATACACACATGTGGCTTTCATTATATTTCTTTTGGACCAGCATTGTTTTAGACTATTTAGAAGGAAGGCTTTGTAGAGGAGGAACATTTGGACCAAAGCCCTCCTAAGAAAAACGAAAAGAATTTCTATACCGAAACAGATGTGAAATTGATAGGTGAAGACAAAGGAATAGGGAAGATCTGCTCGGCAGAGTGGTCTTTTTTAGAACAGAGGGAGGAGTTCATTTATAGAAATATTGGTCATAACGTTAGACAGATACTAGGTGTTACGTCCCACCCATATACTGAGATCTTTGCAGATATCTTATGGCTCATACAACCAACACTCTTACAAGATAGGTACTCTTGTTGATTGTTCTACCCATAACGAAAGGCTTGGAGAGGTATGTAACTTGCCCATAGGCACACAGTTAGCAGGTAATGAAGGTAGGATTCCCGTTAGGCAGTCTGTCTCCAAGGTCCTCTTTTAACCCACAAGGTTATGCTGCACAAAGATGGTTTGGCCACCCTTGCTGTTGGTCCTGATTTCCTTCACCTCTATAGAGTGTTTATGGACTTAGAGGAAGGATTAGAAAGAGCTCATGTTTCATCCTACTTGATAAAACGATTTTATAAGATATGCCTTAATGTTACTAAACATTTATATTCCCAGTTTGCATAGTTTTAAAAAACTGAGTAAAAGCTGATGATTGGATTTAAATGCTAGTTCTGCAGAAGTCTGGTCTTTGGAGTGGAAATCTTTTTTTCCTTCAGTATTTACCAACTACCTGCAGAGTGCCTGGCATAGGGCTAGGAGAAGGGGATTCAGAGATGAGTCTTGACACTTTTCCTTTCTTCAAGGAGCTCATAAGTAAGCCATTTATGTATTATATTACCTGTTGAAGTACTCTGAAATAATTTATTTCACTGATGATCTTTTACCTTTTCAGCCAGTAAAGAAGAAGAAAATCAAGCGTGAAATAAAGATTTTGGAGAATTTGCGAGGCGGTCCCAACATCATCACACTGGCAGACATTGTAAAAGATCCTGTGGTGAGTATATTAGGCACTAGCAAGGCCCACCAGGGCTGAGGTGGTGTTTGACCTGGAGCACAACTGTCCTCTTTCTGTTCCCCTAAGTCCTGCTTTAAAAGTGCTTAATCAGTTATACCAATTAACTAGCTTGGGTCTTTCTTTCAAAGAGACCTCCACCCACAGACTATTTCTTATTCTTCTAGGCTAAGAGACTGATAGCACTGGAAACTGAAATGTGTTAATCCATTTTGCAAACTCAGGTCCGATGCCGATGGGCGATGGGCGCATTGTCGGGCTGCCTAGAGCCTGGTGAGACTTCAGCTCCATGTCTTCTGTTTGAAATCCATCCCAGAAATGACCTAAGTGTGGTGGTGATCAGAGTGGGGAGGGCTTGTAGCAATAGAGGGTTTCCTACAACTGAGGCGAGGACTGCCAAATTCACCACGTAGCATCCACAAACATTGTGCCCATTAAAGCTGCCAGGGCTGTTGCTAATGTGTGTTTTCTTTTTCTTTCCCCTAGTCACGAACCCCCGCCTTGGTTTTTGAACACGTAAACAACACAGACTTCAAGGTATAATATATAACCAACCAATTCAAGCTGTTGGGTTTTTTAGACCACATAGAAAGCCTTTTAGGGATGTTAACTGTCTTCCTTCTGGCTTGCTTAAAAAGAGCTTTTTATCCTTGCAGTCTAAGTTTTAAGATAGAAAATCTGTACAAGCAGTGCCCACTTTCCACATCTTGGTATTTTATTATCTTATTTGTTTAGTACTCTTTTTCATGACCAATACATTTACTTCTCACCACCTTTACTGTTCATTTGACAGTTTCCACTGATCTCAAACCTAATGAAGGCAGCAGCAACACATGTTCAGTCAGGATCTGACCTTAAGACATTTCGCTTTAAAATGGCAGTGTTCACGAAGGAATGTTATTATGTATGTAAAAGCAAGTACTGCTTATGCCTTAGGATTCCTCAGAAATTCTGGGCTCTGGATCTTGAAAAGGGATGGGTGGGGAAAGGTGCTGTAAATTCTGCTGTAACACAAACGTCTGCAGCAGATATCTCTGACTTCCAGCCTGTCCAGTGGCCTTCTTATTTCAAACATTTCCTGATTCCAGTACAGCAGAAGACTGGGCACTCTCTTGGGTTACAGGTTGTAAAGGTATTTGACTTGCCTTTGCATCAGTCCAATATTAAGAATGTTAGGTATCAATAAATGTAGGTGAATTCTTTGCTGAGAGGAGGAAAACAAGGAAGAACTCTTTTAGTATGAGAATGATAACTTTAAGGAAAACTTTGCCAGAGGACGTCACTAACCATTTGATGATGTGTACATGTAAAACAAAAGTCTACAGCTTTTTGGAAACTGGAAAGGATACCTAACAGTTGTTCAGAGTTTGCTTTCAAACTGGGACAGGAATAATTCCTTTAAATTGGCTCAGCAGATTTGGCAGCAAGTCGTCTGCATACCTACTCGTGATCTGCAACACTTAGAACTATGTGAGCCAGAGATGAGTTAGTTCCCTGCTAAGGAGGCTGTGTATTTACCAAAATGCCTTTTATGAGATGGTCTGGAGATAAATGAAAAGCAAACTAAATTGCAAATGTTGATCAGTGCATGTTGCATATATAAATTGCTATGTTTCCAATAGTGGATTATAGCTTCAGCAATATGAGTTTAAATAATCTTCACATTTGCATATATAATATGTTAAAGACTCAAAGTATCTCTTTAAAGTGAATCTACTGGAGAAGTAGACACTGGTGAACAGACAGATCTTGGAACAAGGGCAAATAAGCCATGTCTTGGTTTGAATTACTGCAAATGAGAATGAGAAATTGCCTTCCTATCAGCATTATTTCATGACTCAAATGTTACATTTGTCTTTAACAGCAATTGTACCAGACGTTAACAGACTATGATATTCGATTTTACATGTATGAGATTCTAAAGGTAAGGGAATATTGGGTACTAAATATCTGTAGATTGATCTTCCCTTTTTCTTAAATAGTCCAGTTGACTGTAGAAAAACTAGTGAATTAACTTTGTAAAGTATGTTGAAAGAATCAGCCTCTTCATGTGTTTTTAATAAGTTAATAGCATCAGAACACTTATTCTAATGTGAGGGTTACGGAATAGGGTCTAATAGGAATATAATTTAGAATGCTTCGGAAAGGGTATTTTAGAAGAGAGCTGGGACTCCTTGATAAATATTTGTAATCTCCACCTTGCTCCTACAAAAGTTACAATTAAATTTTCAAAACTTGTAAAAATAACTCATGATGTGCTGGCCTCTGGTGTACTTTATTTCACTTAAAATTCAACAAGTAAAACGGTAAACTTTAACTCAGCCCTCAAAGGGTCCTTGTCCTAATGATTTGCTTAGAAATTGCTGATTTAGAGTGGACTTTGATTTCTAAAGTGGGATCGCCAAATATCTTGCTCCTAGTAGTCACAAGATCAGTTTTATAGATGAGAAAATTGCTGTGAGTTGGCTGAAGTTTCTTACTAAATGAGGGTTGACAAAGCCTGCATTTGAACCTTAGAAGTACACTGAAGAGACTATGCCAGCAGAGATATTTGATCTTTCCATTGGCTCATGCGGTCTTGTGGCGAGCAGGACTTCACAAAGTTAAGGACGTGGTTGCCTAGCCCTGGAAACCCAAGTTGCCCTTCAGGAAGGACAAGAACTTGGCCAATGACATCAGCTGACTTAAAGGGCTGGATTAATAACCCCAAAGGTTATACCACTCAGTTCCCCTTAGTTTGAGATTAGACACACTTTTCAAATTGGATTTGCTGTGATAAATAAGGAGCTGGCAAACTTCTTTACAGGCGCCAAAGAGTAAAATTTTAGGCTTTGTGGGCCATAGGGTCTTACTCACACTACTGAACTCTGTTATTGTAGCAAGAAAGCAGCCACAGACAGTATGCAAACAAATAGGCATGGTTGTGTTCTAAGACTTTATTCACAGAAACAGGCAGTAGGCCATATTTGATCTGCGGCTCCTGGTTTGCCAGCCTCTTTTGTAGACTCTTAGCTGCTGAAGAATTGTTGTTGTTCTTTGAATAAGAGGTTTATAGTACAGACCAATTTTTTCTTTTGAGGGGGATCTGTTTGTGAAAATAATCCAGGCTTTGGGTAAGAGGGACAAATTGGAAGTGATGCATTTAGTGTACACTTTGGGTCTTTTTGAACAGAAAGGTTGTTGAAACAGCTGTGCAACAACAGAACTTGAAGGTCAGAGACCTGAGTTTGCTTGCTGTGGGATCTTGAACGAGTCTCTGAAGAATACCTGTGGGAGTAATTGTCCTAACCCTGACTCCCAGAGGTGTTGTGCAGCTAGAAGGAAAACTATGGAAAAAGTAAAGGACTTTAAAAATCACTCTTATGTAAGCTAACTCTTTCCTTTCTTACCTGTTCCTCCCATAGGCCCTGGATTATTGTCACAGCATGGGAATTATGCACAGAGATGTGAAGCCCCATAATGTCATGATTGATCATGAGCACAGAAAGGTAAAGTGATAGACTGATAAGTCTTATCAACGTGATAGAGTCAACAGCCCATCTTCAACATTTTATCCCTAGGATCTGTCGCAGTGCCTGGTACCTATGAGGAACTTGATAAATACTTGGTGAATGAATTAACCAACAAATCAGAGAGATTAAACCATTATTCATTCATATTCTTAAGAATACTATCAAGGAGGAAACAGATTAGTGCAGTAGGCAAAACATTAATTTTGGGCAGGGAACCTGGCTTCTAGTCTTATTTATTAAATAACCAGTTTCTTGGGAAACTTCTTTCTTCTCATTTGCCTACTTTTTCTTACCTGTACAACAGGTATAATAATATTTGTCCTGCATGCCACAGATTATTGTGACAATTAGGTGTGCACAGTTGTGAAATGGTCGAAATATTCAGAAAATGGTGCTTCTTATTAGCAGGTGTCATGGGGTCCCTGAACTCTACAAGTGCTTTCAGTGAGAGCTGCATTACCACATGCTTTATAACAGTTTTTTAAGGTGACCAAGCCCACCTTTTGTAGGCAGTGATGGCTCTCTGTTGTAGGCTTTGGGAATGTAGGTGATTTGTTTATTCAACTAATATTTTTTTAGAGACACACTTTGTAATAGGAATTATAAGAGGAATTGTATGTAAGAGGCTGGGGATATATGCATGAGACAAACAGACAAAAAATTCTTGTCCATAAGGAGCTTGCATTTGGGGGAGGCTGGTGGGATAGAAAAGTAAAAGTATTATGGAAGAAAAATAAATCAGGAGTAGGGAATGGTGGAAAGTGTTGCAGTTTTAAACAAGCTGGTGAAGGGAAGGTTTCATTGAGAAGATGACATTTTACAGAATTCTTGAAGGGAACCAGCCATGCAATCTTGGGAAGAAGTATGTCCCCGATAGAGGAACTTGCAGATGCAGAGGCCCTGAGGCAAGAGTGTGCCTGGCATGTTGTAACAGCAGCAAGGATAGAGCAGGGATGGAATGAAAGGGGGGAGGGGGGTGAGGTCAAAGAGATAAAGAGAACCAGATCGGGTAGAACCTTAAAGATTGCCAGACCTTTTCTCTGAATTTGCAGAGCTTTTGCAGGGTATGAGCAGAGGGTTGGTGTGTTCTCAATCACATTTTTAAAAGTTCACTACATACCTACTAGAACAGCTAAAATAAAAAATAGTGATCATACCAAATGCCGGCAAGGATGCAGAGAAACTCAGTCTCTCATATGTTGCTGGTGGGAATGTAAAGTAGCACAGCCATTTTGGAAAGTTCCAAACTATTAAAAAACTAAACATGTGCTTATCAAATGATCCAACAGTAGCATTCATCCCAGGGAAACAAAAACTTAGGTCCACACAAAAACCTATACGTGAGTGCAGCTTTATTTATAGTAGTTCAAAATTGGAAAAAACCTAATGTCCTTCAGTGCATGAATGGTTAATCAAACTGTGGTATATCTATACCATGTAGTAGTATTACTGAAAGGAAAAGAAAGAAAATAAAAAGAACTACTGATAATGCAACAACTTGGATGGATTTCATGCTGAGTGGAAAAAAGCAGTCTCAAAAAGTTACAGATGATTCCATTTATGTAACATTCTCAAAATGAAAAATTCATAGAGTTAACAGAGGGGTTGCCAGGGCATTAGAAAGTGAGGGGCGGGGGCGACCCCGTGGCCGAGTGGTTAAGTTCGAGCACTCCACTTCCGCGGCCCAGGGTTTCGCCGATTCGGATCCTAGTCGTGGACGTGGCACTGCTCATCAAACCACACTGAGGTGGCATCCCACATAGCACAACCAGAAGGACCTACAACTAGAATATACAACTACTTAACTGGGGGGCTTTGGGGAGAAGAAGAAACAAAAAACAAAGATTGGCAACAGATGTTAGCTCAGGTGCCAATCTTTAAAAATTTTTTTAAGTGAAAGCAGGGAGACCAGTTAGGAGAAGGGGCTGGTGTAGTAAATCAGACAAGAGAGGGTGGTGGCATGGCCCAGGGCAGTGGCAGTGGAGGTGATGGTAATGGTCAGAAGATGGTAGAGCCAACAGTATTTGTTGACAGATTAGATGTGGGGTGTAAAGGAAACAAGAATCCAGGGTGAAAATTGGGGGCCTAAATGACAAGATGAATGGAATTACCTTTAACTGAGGAGAAGAAGAAGGCTATTCGGGAAGTAGGTTTAGTTTTGAGATGTCTGTTAGGTGATCACAGAGAGACGGCTGGTAGGAGGCATGGGCTGGAGAGTATAGGTGGGAAAGGCTAAGATGCTGTATGTGAAGCCACAAGACAAGAAATGGTCATCTGGGAATACTTGATAAAAAAGGAAGCTCAGGATCAGCTCTGGAGCACAAATGTTAAGGGGTTGATGAGCAAGTGTGTATAAAAAAATTACACTTTCTTTCATACCTTTTATTATATTTCACTTTGTCTACTAAAACAGTGAAGACACTGTCCCTCATTAACAGTGAACTTACAGAGGCAGTGTCAGAGCAGGCGGGCATTGCCCAGGCCCTGCTGCTCCCACTTCAGATTATGGTCATGCTGTGCACAATGGGCAAATGAGCTTGCCTCTTGTCCTTGCTAGTACTTTTTCCACTTTGGGGATACATTTTGGTAAGAGCTATTTTGTTGGCCTTTCTTTTATTTTGTTTGCTCAGCAAATATTTTTATTTTTCTTCTGTGTACTGGGCATTACGTTGAATCTAAAAATTACAAAAGTAAATAAAACAGTCTCTACCCTCGAGGAGCTTCCAAGTCCATATTGAAAAAGAAAGATGGAAAACAAACATACAGTGAAGAGTTGTAAGTTCTATTAAAGAAAGAGATCTGAGGGTTAGGAGCTAAAGGCACTGGTTCTGCTTGGATAGTTAGAAGCGGCTAACTTAGATATCTCAAAAGATGCAGAGATGTTCGTCAGTAGGAGTCTAGGTTGGATAGTGGAGACATTCTTGTCGGGTGAGCAGTTTAAGAAATTCGGAGAAGCACAAAGTGAGTTGTGTCTTTCTGGAAGTGTAAGTCTCAGTGGAGACAGGAACTAGATCTTGAGAACCCTGTATGTGAAGCTGAGAGATTTGATTTTCATCCTAAATGCAGTAGGTACTCAGTGAAGGGGATTCGGTAAAGAATGATATGGCTGGTGTTTTTAAAAGAGTACTCCAATGGCAGTGAGGGGGAGCTTGAAAGATAAAATTGCTCATGATTGATTCTCCTTTTTTTTTTCTTTCAGCTACGGCTAATAGACTGGGGTTTGGCTGAGTTTTATCATCCTGGCCAAGAATATAATGTTCGAGTTGCTTCCCGATACTTCAAAGGTCCTGAGCTACTTGTAGACTATCAGGTGAGAAGAGAAGGGCGGAAAAAATTTTGGTCCTGTGTTTGTTTTGCACATAATTTAAGAAAAATGTCATTTCGTGCTTTTGAATAGGCCATTTTTGCACATCCATGTCTGTCCCTCTTATGTGAACGTAAAATATGAATCACCTCAGTTCATCTGCCATGACTTCAGTTGTTGCTATTGTCATAGTGTTGGTGGAATATGAACAGATCTGCATTTGACCCTAACTGAGGAGAAAGCACACTAAAGATACTTTTCCTGGTCAGAAATTCCAGAGCTGGTTTGAGAATTTGTAAGCTAGGTTTGGCCAACCTTAAGAGTAAACTAAAAAGTGTTCTCTCATGATTTTCTGAGATTGTATTTTAGGTATAAAGACCTTCCCCTTAACAAAAGAGATAAAAGGCCTTTTTCTCCTCAAAGAAACAAAATCCCTGCGAGTGCCTTTCATGTCCAGTCCTCCCAGGTGTTATTATCAGATACACCTTTAAGAGGTCAAACTCTGTCCTAGAAATTCTTCTTCTGGGATCTTGAGGGTTATAACCCTGCACTCAAAAAACATTTTATGCATAAAAATATTTTTACAACATTTATAATGGTGAAAAATGAAACACTGTCCTATTGTAGGGGAGATTAAAGATTAAATTCTGAAATATTTATGCAATAAAATAACACTACGTGTTAGGTTTCTCTAGGTTAACAATTTGGAGTGTTCTTACATAAGTGAAAAAAGTAATTCAAAATATGTACAGATTGTTTTAAAACTGGGGGGGAAATGCATAGAAAAAAAGACTGAAAAGAAGTACATGAAGATGTTATTGGTATTTGGACTTTGAGTCAATGGATGATCCCCCCCCCCAATAATAAAGAGCAGTTATTTATTTTGAAATGACGAGATGTTTATTCTTATCATTTCATGTATGATAACAATGATGTTTTCTTTACTTTAATGTAGATGTACGATTATAGTTTGGATATGTGGAGCTTGGGATGTATGCTGGCAAGTATGATCTTCCGGAAGGAGCCATTTTTCCACGGACATGACAATTACGATCAGGTGATATATGTTGTTCCCCTAGGGAACTTGATGGTCTAACCTAGTGATGGCGAGATTCTGCCTGTTAGAAACTGCAGTAGATCTTGTTAAAATGCAGATGCCCAGTCCCCACCTGAGAGCTGTTTATTCAGAATCTCTGAGAGTCGGCCCTAGAATAATGTTCAATTCATGCCTTGTTCAGCCAACCTGACATTGATCCTCAGATTGGTGTTTTGGGAGCTACCAGTTTAGCCTTTTGAAATCAGAGTTTTGCCTCTAGTCCTTTTAATTTGCATTGCTTGTTTTATTGTGAAATATACCTGTAAAATGTTTTATAATACATCATATACAATTCAAAGAAGAATAGTTTAGGAAATAGGACATTACCTTAGACTCTTCTAATGTGAGCTTTCATTGGAGTTAGGAATGTTTTCTCCAACCTCTTGGTTTATATGTGGTATTTCTATGATCCATTTGGATTAAAGTTGATGTATGTCACTAGAAATATAGATGGTGTTTTTTTTATACTAGCTCCACTTCCCCTTGAAGATCAAGGGGCCATTTCATTCAAGAGAACCTGGAATGATTCTAGGGCCTTGTGGAAGGTACTGTTGCCTTGTTTGAGCACGATGACCTTTTTTTCCCTTTCTTTTTAAGATTTTATTTTTTCCTTTTTCTCCCCAAAGCCCCCTGGTACATAGTTGTATGTTCTTAGTTGTGGGTCCTTCTAGTTGTGGCATGTGGGATGCCACCTCAGCATGGCTTGATGAGCGGTGCCATGTCCAAGCCCAGGATTCAAACCCGTGAAACACTGGGCCGCCGCAGCAGAGTGTGCAAACTTAACCACTCGGCCACAGGGCCAGCCCCACAATGAACATTTTTAATATGAGTCTAAGAATACCACCTGAATTCGATTAAAACCAGCAACTCTGTATCACCCGCCACGCAGGATTGAAGAATACAGAAAAAAAGAATAGTCCCTCTTCTCAAATAGTTCATAATCATCTAGTTCAGGAACCAAACATGACAGAGGTCACAGGCATAAATGTCAGGGTAGAAATGTAGACAGGGTGCAAACAGCAGTTGTGGGAGTGAGTGGTCTGAGTGTACTAGGGAAGCTTTCCAAAAGATGTGACGTCTTCAGCTGGGTTGTGAGGGGGGACAAAAATAAGACTTCACCAGGGTGACATTTCAAGGGGAAGGAACCAGGTTACAAAGCAATTGCATTTTCTTTTTGATACCTTCACACTGAGCAATAATTTAGTGAATTTTATGTGGAAATCCACTCCTGCCCTGCACAGAAATCTGAATTAAATCGAAGTGTAACATTCACACCCATAGCCATGGTGATCGCTTTCTTTTAATGCAGCCCTGTAATATGCTTGTGGTGTGCGCTTTTATCTTTCTTTAATCCTAGTTGGTGAGGATAGCCAAGGTTCTGGGGACAGAAGATTTATATGACTATATTGACAAATACAACATTGAATTAGATCCTCGTTTCAATGATATCTTGGGCAGGTAAGTCATAAAGCAGAATCTATGCATCTGTGCCTTAAGCACTTTGGGTGTAAGCTTACACTTTGAATCCTCAAAATAGTTACGTTCTCTTTGCCAACACTGCTGAGGTGTCGGTACTCCAGTGCTGCCGGATGCTGCATGGGTGGGCATGTGATAAAAGCATTGGATTGAATGGCTGTTTTTCCAGATTCACTTATAGGAATCAGAGTGTGGAGATTAGGGTCAGAGAATTCTTGTGAAATATAGATTCTGGTAGAAGGATTACGGTTGTCAGAAATCAGAATCTCTTGATTAAACTTACTTCTCCAAATGACAAACCCTCTCTAAGAGAAAGAAATAGTAATAGAAAACACATCCTTCAGTACTGATGTGCTGACAACGGACTCTGAAAATAGTGACTAGACATGATACTAATTCATTCACCACTTAACAAGAGGAGGTAGCCATTCGTGATGCAAAGGCTGTTGCTGGCCAAGTGGCAGAGATGCCAGGAATGTATGTGGGCATAGGAGAGAGGTGCGGTTGGCCCAGCCACCTGACCCTCCTTGCTGCACAGGAGCATTCAGTCCTATAAACTAACCTGAATTACGTTTCATAAAATTGTGAGGACCCAGATTTTTCTGCAACACTGCTATTTCCATTGTTGTCTCCCCAGTGGCAGAGTGGCATAGGAGTAATCTCTTGAGTTTTGATCTCTCTTTGCTATTGGCTGGGCTGCTAGCCACTCAGGAATAATGTAGGAGTGAAATGTTGGGCTTCTCTGTTCCTCATTCCATTTTTCATTCCCCCTTTTGGCTCTGCAGGCACTCCCGTAAGCGATGGGAACGCTTTGTCCACAGTGAAAACCAGCACCTTGTCAGCCCTGAGGCCTTGGATTTCCTTGACAAGCTGCTGCGATATGACCATCAGTCACGGCTCACCGCAAGAGAGGCCATGGAGCACCCCTATTTCTGTGAGTCCTTCTGTCCAGTCCACAGAGCCTGCATGACCCACCTAGCAGACTGTACAAGGCAGGGAGACTATATACTCTGAGGAAAGCTCTGGGCCCAGAGTCCTACAGAACAGCTGAAATCCCAGGTTGCCTTCACTGACAGTGAGCCTCAGCTTCCTCATATGGGGACAGTGATGGCAACTGTCTTGCAGAATTGTTGGGAAGGTTTTGATCTAACAGAATACCTGACACATGATCATTCCTAAGTAAACTGCTTTTCTTCCTGTGTGGGTGATACTCCCCAGTGGCTAGTCTGAAGCGGTTGGATTAGAATAAGCAGCCCTATATCTGTCCTGTCTCTGGTAATCATTCATTGGAGAGAGTCAAGGAGGCTTGAAAATCTTAATTTTATGAACACCTTGACCTGGGTTTGAAAGTTTAGCAAACTGTGCTATCCTGGGTGAAAATGCCGCTTAGACCCACTACATCCTCACTGTAATGTTAGCTGCCACATTGGATTGTTCCTTGGGGCGTGGTGGGATGGTTTTGTCTTGAAGCCATCACAGACTGACAGGCCGATTGAGATGGAGAGTGAAGTCTGTGATCATAGCACTAACTTGCACAAACCTATTGCTGTGGCTTGTTTGGCACCATGCTTAACCAGGTGAGCTGTGGACTGCAGTAAAACCAATTCACTCTGATAATATATTACTGCCTAGGCCAGTTAGATTGTATTGTCTCTTTAAACCCTGACGGAATCAGTTTTGTTTTAAATTAGCTCTACTATGGATAATTACCTCGTCTTCCTACCATTTAGTTTAAGAGTTGGCCTTTACCAGTCTTACAGGAAAGATAATTCTATTTTATATTACTTGTCTAATTCATGGTGAAGGCAGTTTTCACCTTACGTTCTTCTAGGAATAATAGGGACTATAAATAAAGTGCAAAGAGTGAGAATGACTGCTTTAAGGCCCTAGACAGTTAGTTAATCCTTCAAGTATAACAGAACCTACCCTTATTGTCGCTTTTCTAGACTCTGTTGTGAAGGACCAGGCTCGAATGGGCTCCTCTAGCATGCCAGGGGGCAGTACGCCTGTCAGCAGCGCCAATATGATGTCAGGTCAGTTCACTGGTAAATTACCTTTAAGTGCGGGGAACAGGGGGGTGGTTGACCTCAATTATTATCATTAGTTTTGCTCCCTCTTTGTGGGGATTTCTTGTGGACCTCCTCATCTCTGTAACGATTGCCTTAGTAACACATTGGCCCGTGTGGCTCTCCCCACCAGCTTTCAGGATGTTTTTGACACCTGGTATACTTTAGTGACACTGCCTTGAGTAGTGTATCAACAGTTTCTTCTAGGCCAGAATCCTGAAAATTTTTCTCAGGTACTTGAAAGTCCCAACAAGCCGTGAAGACTAAAAAGAGATCCTTTCCTCTCACAGATTAGAGTGACAGTAGTTGCGTGATCCTCAGAGACAAGATTAAGAAATTGGGTGGGGGGAGTAGAGGTGGGATTTGTACATAGGTATATATGTGTAGAACAGTGGTTCTCTGATTTTTTCCAGAGCAACTACAGTGTGCCTAGTAGATTGTAAAGGGTTATATGAGATTATTTTTCATAATTGTTGAGTCATCACGATTTAGAGCGAGTTTTTTTTACAGAGTTACACAATTATTCTAAAGAAACCATAGGCACATCCCCTAAGAGTTAGATAGGTATGCAACATCCACGTGAGTGCACTGGTGGTAGTGAGGGCATTTACTCAGACGCCCTCTGAGAATTGCTGGTGTCCCAATTCTTTTTTAAAGAACTAGCTGCTTTTTAGAATTTATCCTCTTGAGTATCTTGCCTATGTGCAAAATGATGTATATCCAAGGTTACCCATTGTAGCCTTATTTGTAAGAGCAAAACATTGAAAACAGCTCTCAGTAGGGAACTGGTTAAATGAATTATGGGACACCCATTACGGGAATGCTACATAGCCAGAGAAAAGAATGAGTGTTTCATGTTGTTTTCTAGCTCCACAATATGAAATGAAAAAAGCAAGATGCAAAACCATGTCCAAGACCAGGAGTGGGCAAGAATACATAATCACATTCTTATATATGATTCTTATATGAATATTCTTATAAAATTATGTTCATGTATATGCATAAAATATTTCTGGAAGCATACACCCCGAAAATGGTGTCATAAGTTGGCCAAGCAACAGGGCAAGGGAGCTTTTTCAGTACTCTTTTGAACCTTTTGTATTTTGAGGCATGTAAACATATTACCTGTTCAAAATATATATATAACATTTTGAAAATTAAGGAACTGGCTGGCTGAGGGCAATCTAACAAGTAACTCTGGTCATCAGATGAGTGGAAGAAACTAAATGGAAATAAATTCTAAAACACTTACTTTAGCTTAGAGGTGAAAAATGTTCCTTTTCCCACTGCAAATGACTTAGTAATTTTGAAAGCTGCCAACCAAGCGGGTGGCGTGGTGTGAGAAGAGTGCGTGAACTCGGCACCAGCCCTGCCGTTCAGTGTGGCGGTGACTGCCACATGGGGCTATTTAAGTTAATTAAAATCAAGTACACTTTTAAAATCAGTTCCTTAGTTGCAGTAGCCCCATTTTAAATTCTCAGTAGCCACGTGTGGCTAGTGGCCACCAAGTTGGCCCAGGTTATGGAGCAGAAAGTCTGGTTGGACAGTGCAGCCCTGGACAGGCCTGGGTTGAAATCCAAGCATAGTTGCTGCTTATTAGCAGTGTGCCTTGGACAAACGGCTTAAATTATCCAAGCTTAGATTTCTTTACCTGTCTTTTAAATTTACTATTTTAATGTGTGAGGATTTAATTTGAAATTAGACTTAATTTGTAAAGATCTGGCTAAGGAAGGCCTTTAATAAGAAGAGAATTATTATTGTGTCACTTTTGAGATGGGTGCTATCAAAAACTAGTGACTAAAATTTCCACAGTTGGTGTCTCTGGCTCACTGTCGGCTGTTTTCTTTCAGGGATTTCTTCAGTGCCAACCCCTTCACCCCTCGGACCTCTGGCAGGCTCACCAGTGATTGCTGCTGCCAATCCCCTTGGGATGCCTGTTCCAGCTGCCGCTGGCGCTCAGCAGTAATGGCCCCTTCTGTCTCCTGATGCCTGAGCAGAGGTGGGGGAGTCCACTCTCTCCTTGATGCAGCTTGCGCCTGGCGGGGAGGGGTGAAATACTTCAGAAGCACCGTGTCTGAACCGTTGCTTGTGGATTTATAGTAGTTCAGTCATAAAAAAAAAAAATTATAATAGGCTGATTTTCTTTTTTTCTTTTTTTTCTTTCTTTTTTTTTAACTCGAACTTTTCATAACTCAGGGGACTCCCTGAAGAATTACCTGCAGGTGGAATATTTCATGGACAAATTTTTTTCTCCCCTTCCAAATTCAGTTCCTCATCACTAAAGAACAAAGAAACCAGCCTCAATCCCGGCTGCTGCATTCGGGTGGAGATTTATTCCCATGCCCACCGTTTCTCCCCCACCATCCCACACTTTGGGGGGTTTGTATCTCATGCTCTTCTCCAGAGATTACAAAAATATAGCTTCTTCAAGGGAGGAGGGAAGGAAGGAGGAAGGGGGTACCCAACCTCTAAGAGGAGCATACTGCTGGTCACTGATACCACTTTACTCCCAAAGTGCTTCAGTGGGCTTATCCTGGTAAATCTAGTGGAAACATGTCCTAGTTACATTGAGATGCTAAAAAATCTACCCAAAGTGCAGACAGGTCCTGAAAACTCATGTTCAGTATGAATCATGTCTTGTTGACCTAACCCTAAATCCAGCTCACTTAGAATTTTAGTTTCAGTTTAGTTTACAATGTTAATTCCTTCCCTCCCGAGCTCTTCTCCTTGATTCTCTCCCTTTTCGTTTCCTGACACGTTCTATAGCTGGTAGGAGAGGGAAGGCAAAGTCTTTTTCAGTTTTCTTTGACTTGGCCATTTTGAATTCAGTTAGTTACTGGGCATAACTTATTGCTTTTCACAAAAGAAAATACTGTCTATATATAGGTTTCATGTTAGCAAGTCTTTAAGAGCTAATGGGAGATGTGGCCACACTGAGTTTCATTTTAAGCTTTCTACCTTCTTTTCCTCCTGCCTTCCCCTTCCCTCTCATGCCATCCAGTGAGAAGACCTGCCCTTCAGTCTTGTAAATGTATCTGAGAGGTAGGAGCAGAGCCACTATCTCCAGTGAAACTGAAATGGTAGACCTGTAATTGTGGGAAAACTAAACTCTCTTGTTACAGCCCTGCCACCCCTTGCTGTGTGTATATATATAATACTTTGTTCTTCATATGTGAAAGATCCAGTGTTGGAATTCTTTGGTGTAAATAAACGTTTGGTTTTATTTATCAAGGTTAGATTTAAGTTCCCTGTGTAAAGGTCTCGCTGGGTGGGTGTCTCACGTTCACATCCGAGGGGCCTGCAGCCCTGTACCGTGGAGGCTTCCCAAGGCCGCCATTTTTGTACACCCCTTGTTTGACCCATGGTACTGGGCAGGGCAGAGAGGCCTTAAAAAAGCACCACAAGCCAAAGCATCTCTGGGGATTAAGGATCCTTTGCCATAAAACTCATTTTGTGTCTCAGCAGTGCAGGGATTGGGGATGGAAAAAGTCGCCAGTTTTTGTGTGTTTGTGTGTGTGTAAAGTGGATTTTCCACTGTAATCCAACCACCTAAGTTTATCAGGTGCTTCACTGAGGAAGCCTAGTTTTTTAAGCACAATAGCAAAACCATCAGCTCTGTATTTTTTCCTGTTATTCATTACAGTAGCTGCTTGTGGGGACTAGGAGAAATTCTTCCAACATATTTTAAGGCCTAAAGTCTTAGTTCCCCATTCTCCTACCTTTATAGATTCACAGGCCTTTCTCACCTGGGCGTCATAGATAAACATAATTGTTTGAGGAGTTGAATTTAATGAACTTACCTAACTTTGTAACCCATCTTGGCTTTAGTAACTTTATCAAGGTGGCGGCTTTAGTGAATATAATGGTAAACTCCAGAGGAAGCTAAAGCCTCCTTTTATAATGCTTCTCAACAGTAGGGAAAACATTCTGACTGTGTGGCAGGGTGATTTTCTTCCTTGTGGCCACTTACAGTGGATATTTATTGTTCTTGACCCTTTTATGCCCTAGAATGCTGTGAGGGTTACCATGTTGAATTTGTGCAGAAGCTAAAAGCACCGGATGTGCCAGAGATGCAATTTGTGATTACGTTTGCACTGGATTGTGATTGACCAGGACACTTATGACTAATGAATTCTTTCCTTTGAGGTGGGGAGGAGGGTTGTAAATCAGGACTTCGCATCCCACCCTTGTAGCTCAGAGAATCTAGGTGTAGCTGAGGCTGATGTTGGGGGCTGCACACAGCTGGACCTCCTCATACGCATCAGACCTTGCTAGAAACCGAAGGTGAATGCAGAGGACTCTGAAATGCCACCCAAGAGCCTTTTAAAATAAACAGAAGTTTTTAAAATGCTACTTAAGGAGTCACTGCAGAAGCATGGGAAAAAAAAAAAAAAGACCCAGTTGGGTGGGTGGGGGGCAGGGTTTACAGAGTAACAACTTCTGCGTTGTTGTAAATTACCTCATCTGTACACCTTGTATTGGGACACTTTCTCAGCACTACCTGTATCTGCATTGATTAGATGGCCGGAAATGGAATGCCAGTATAAGACAGTGTGTTGGCAATTACTTTGAAAGGTTTTTTAAGTATTTTTTTAACTTTGTTTGAAGTGGCCCTCCTTTTTTTAAGTTTGAAGTCAGAAGTGCCCCTCCCCCCGCCCCGATTTATTGGTTGTAATTGTATTGTAATTGGTATAACTAAAACATAACTGTGCTGGGAAGAAGTTGTGCCATGAAGGTCTTTAATTTTTTTTTAAATAAAAACATTTAAACAAATGAAATGTCCCTGCAGCCTGAGCAGTATGCTTCTCCAACCGACACCGTGTGTGACAGATGGCTTAGTTCTTACGTGCTTTGAATTTCATATTGGGTTGTGGAGATGTGAAGTGGGATGGATTAAGATTGGTCGAGAAGCACTGAAGTCTGGGAGTTTTTGACCTCGAAGTAACAGTGAAGAGAGCATGATGTTGTTGCTAAACAGGATTGGTTTCATTCCTGCCCTTGTCATGTACTTAGCTTCTTGGCAAGTTACTTAACTTCTGAATCGGTTTCATCATCCATAAAATGGGGCACTGCTTCCTTGGGATTGAATGAGAGTAAATGTCAGGTATCTGGACACCTGTTATGCCCTTGATAAACCTAATTCCCCTGCCCCCCCCCCCCCCCACCCGAGTATGGAGGATTGGTCCTTGGTCCTGACTTTGCAAGTAATTCACAGTATGATCTCTGGTCAGGGGAAGACTGGGTGAGGTGTCTTCTGAGTTCCTGTTCAGCTCTGACGCTGATTTTAGAAAGTTTCAGCGGTGCTTAAATGAAAAGGCCCATGGAGATAGCTTGTTCATTGGCAGAAAAGACCAGTATTGAGTGAATGGCAGTAAGCCCTGTGGAAGGTCAGCCTTGGAGGCAACTTGCAAAAGTCTTGGGGCCTGGAATGAGGTGTGCTGGTGAGCTTATGGGAACATATTTGGCAGCTTAATTAGAAACTATGAAAAGGGTGGTAAAAGGTGAAACGGTTTACTTGCTTATCAATGCCAAATGAGTAAATTCTACAAGAGCTGCCACTCTGGAATTGCCACTTGAATACACTTGAATTGCCACTTATTCTTTCTTGCTCAACCACAATTTTTAAAAATGGAACCAGAGGAAATGCTGCTTTCCCCTATTTCAGGTTTCCTTTAAATGTTCACTGCATACTATTTTATGGTATCCACGTATTATTAATGTTACAATTGAGAAGTGCGGTTTAGATAAAAGGAACCATTGTGTAATATCTTGTATCTAAAATGCCTGACTTATGTGAACTTTGATTTCTAACATTTATTCCCATTTTATACATGAGATAGGTAGGAAGATTAAATTGTTAGGGTAGGCCTATTAGAGACAGGTATGTATTTTGTAAAATTGGATCTTCAGGATATGGCTAATTATTGTAGTCCTAAAATAGAGCAGATTGGAGATTGGTTGACAGATTTGGGGGTTTTGATTTCCTTTCAGTCTTTAAATTTCTTCTTGCTTCACTTGTTGTCAAGTTTGGTTTTATAAATGGAACTGACCGTTTGAGCAACTCTTGAAAAATCGTTTTGTCACCACTGCCTACAGATTCCCACCAGCAGATTCTCTTCCGAGAGAAGAATTGGGTTTGAGTAGTTATTTAATCGGCAGTCCTTGCCTACTTCCCTGCTGGTGATTTCCTCCTCGCTTGTGCCTCAGCTTCAGGGCTGTGGCTGGCCATCTGTGACATGCATGCTGAAGAGGCTATTTTCCCAGGGTCGGTCTCTGCATGAGGAAAAAGTTAATCAAAAGGCTTTGAAGTAGAGTAATCCTTGGTTCCCTCCTCAAAAAGTGGGTCAGGCTGGTGCCCCACTCTGTCTAAAGTCACCTCTCCCTGCTCCCATCACTGCCATCACTAGCCCCTTGCCCTTTTCCTCATAACACCTGAACTTTGATTATTGTTTTGTTAAATTGTCTCCCTACCTGCATGTAAACTCCCTGATGACCTTGTCTTACTAATCTATGCATCCTCATAAAAACCTTTTGTAAAAAGTGGGCCAATATCCCTCAGGATTCAAGAGGATTGAATGGAGTACCACAAGGAAAGCGCTTAGCACCATGCGAGGCTCATAATAGTTGCTCAGTAAATGGTAATCCCATCCTCCACTGCCACTTCCTCCACCACCCCCCCACACACATAAGTTAATGGAAGTATTCTTGCCTAAAGAGCATTTCAAGACCAGAAGAACCTTGCCCTTAGGTTTGTTGCTCTAACTATAAGCCACAGGCCAGACTGAATTAACATGACAAGAAAATATTTATTTAATGAGCCCTTGGTGAAATCCTAAGTGACTGAAGGCTAAGCAATGATCTTGACCAATTTAATAGAATTAGATGCTGGAATATCCCTGCTTTCTACCACATGTATAAAATATGAAATTCAGACTTTTCTCCAAATAGAACAGATAATATAGAGAGTGTCATAAGATAATCTGGTTCTGGGGTCAATCTTAATGTAGACAAGTAGTTTGTAGATTTTATAACCTTACTGTGATTCTCTGTAAATTTAATCAGAGAAGCAACCTAGTAGAACTGCAAATGTGGTTCTAATCAGAGTTCTGTCTGGCTGTGCAGTGTTGGATCAGTTACTTAACCTCTCTGAATCTTCACAGTGATTTAAATTATTCTTGTAAAACATTTTAGACATATACCAAGTTATCAGGAAGCTCTAATACACCCATGAACCGTCCAAGTTAAGTCTGTATTATCGATACAGATGAAGCCCCTTTTGCCCTTTCCTAATCATATTTTCTTCTCTTCCTTCCTTCCTCAGAGGTCCTAATATTTTCTACATCTGTAAAATGGGGTATAAATACCTATTTCTTAGGGTGGTGGTTCAGATTGGATGTGATAAATGTATGGAAAGTGCTCAGCACAGTATCTGGCATATGGTAGAGTTGGACTAAATGCTGGTTTACACTCTGAATTAAGTTGTACAGATTATGTGCAGAAAAAAGATGCCACCTCTATAGGGATGCCATCAATTTGTGTATTTTTCCTACAGTTTTACAGTAGATGGCAGTAAAGTTTTGTTGTAGAAGAAAACATACATGTGTTAAATATGACAGGTATTCAACAGATGCAAGTCAGTGTGCATGAAGGCCAGCGTTGCCCTGTTCTGACCCCTCTCAGGCTTCCCCTCTGAGATTCTAGCACTCTGTCGCCTCTGAATTTGTAATTTCTCTACTGAAAGCCAAATAATTTTCCCTTGTAGCAAATTACAAACTGGATTGGCCTCCCTGTGGCATAACCACCAGGGATTTTTAGTGGCTTCAATGTGAGAAACTCTTCCCCAGGTCCCTCCAGATGGGAGTTTATAGGATGGCAGTCCGTTTCTTAGAGAAGTTCCTCAGGGGACTGGGTGTTTCTCACTCAGCTTCGTTCTTGCGTCAGCTGCTCTGACAGAGCGTTTTTGGCTCCTCTAAGGAGAAAAAGGAAAAGCAGCAGCAGCGGCTTGGTAAGTGGGTCCCTTAGCCCACCCTGTGGCTCAGTCTCAGCTATAGATAAACATTTGTACACTTATCTAGATAGGGAGGGCCTTGTGTCTGTGTGTCAGACAGTTCCAGGAACTCCACAGGGAGCTTCCTATGCAGAAGCCTGAATACCCATAGCTCTCCACACCCTAATGTTTACCTCATGCTGGTCCCCACTCAGCCACTCAGCTCCCTCCCCTCAGCCCGGGGTTCCTTACACACTCACCTTCTTGACTGGTCTTTCCAGAGTTCATTTATTTATGTTAGATGCCCTTCAACAAACAGCCTGCCCCTTTGCTAAACACTGGGCATTGAGAGATGAGACACAAGGCTACAGGGATATGTGTTACTGTCAAACAGAAAAGTGGAAAACAAAATTGTGTATATGGGATAATTTGAACTATTAAAAAAAAACGTTTCCCAGGAAAAAAAAGCAGGTTGCCAGGCAACATGATAGCTTGAGCTAACTCAGGTAGGTACCCATCTCCTGCTCCAAATATGTGAGAATGCTGATTTTAACACAATTTACTTTCAAATAAATAGCCAATTTCAAAGAAAGAAATGGAGATTCCCAGGTGGCAGAAAGGAAGACAGAATTCATCCTGAAGGTAAGTAAGTATAGAAGTCACAGTGGCCCCCATGACACCATGCTTGGACATCGATGGGCCTCAGAGGCTAGGGGATAGGGTTTGAATGCCCCAGGGGAAATAGGAGATATCTCAGGGCCCTTCAAGATGAAAACTGAAACAATCCCCTGGCACTTGAAAAGGCTGCCTCTGGGGAAAAAAATTGGAAGAAAACAAAATATTAGCTGTAGTTGCCTCTGGGAGGTGAGATTAAGATAAATGTCACAGAAAAACTCATAGCAAGAAAGGAGTCCTGAACTCTTGGGGAAGGGAGACTGGTCAGAGAAGGCTTCCCAGAGGAGGGGATGCCAGAGCTGGCTAGGGAGAGACCAGCCTTAGCAAGTTTGAGCTCCCAGGGCCCACACTGGGAGCAGAACCCATGACTCCTGGCTCAGTTCTTCAGTGCTGCCTGGACTGCCTTTGCAAAGCTGTGCTGCCAGGAATCCCTGACCAGCTTTCTAGCCGGTCAGTACAGATCAACTTTTGCTCTCTCTTGCCTTTGCTCTCTTGTCCTTTCAACAAAAACATCTAAGTCACACACAAAAAAACACACAAATCTCTAAGTCAACTTTAGTTTGACTGATCTAAACTGGGTTCAGCCAAGCAATTCTTCTGGTTGAGGTTTCGCTGGGCTGGGTTCCTGTGCTGATTAGACTTGGGTTTGTTCCACGTGGTTCCTTCTGGATCCCATGCTAAAGCTGCAACAGGTATGCGGGGCATGCTTTTCTCATGGAGGAGCATAAAAGGCCAAATGAAATCACACAAGCACTTTTCAAGCTTCTGCTTGTGTCACATGTACTATCATCCCCTTGGCCAAAGCAAGTCACATAGCCAAGCCCAACATCAATGGAGCAGTGAATGTGCACCCTCCTGTGTTGAGAGAGCTATGCAGAATTATGTGGCGCAGTGTATGTATGTATAATGTTACTACTTTATATACATACATATATATACATAATGTAGAATGTTATAATGTTCTGTTTATCTGGGTGGTGGTTACGTGTGTTTGCTCTAGAGTTTGCTAAACTGTACATTAGTGTTTGGAGCATTCCTCAGTATGTTAGAGTTCAAATGTTTAAAAGTGTAAAACAAAAACTAAGCAAACTAAAACAAACCAAAGAAGTAACTGTA